GGTTCCCCCGGGACTCCAGCCCAGAACCCTCTGGTCCTGGTTCCCCCAGGACTCCAACCCAGAACCCTCTGGCTGTGAGGCCTCGGTGCTATCCACCACATCACCGTGCCGCCCCAGAAAAAAAATATTCATGTGAATTCACTGAGTTGTACCACTTTCAGTTGTGTTTCAGATGATTGTTTTTGTTAACTACTCAGAATGGTGTCTCAGGAGTGCATGTCTTGCTCACACACACTGTTTGAGCTGGTCTACCCCGGTGTGCGTACCTCGGTAGGTTGTAGAGGGGAGCCATCCTGAAGCACGCCACCACGGCCCGCTTCCTCTGTTTGGACAGCAGCTTGTGCCACACGGCCTTTTTACTGCGCTGGGGATGCTCCACCTGCAAACACAAACTGGACTTTAGCCTTTCATGACCAATCACTGACCATCTCAGCAGAACATGCTAATTCTTCCTGAAAGCTCACGCTGAAGTAACACATGTCTACTTCTTTAGATGTATTTTTGCACACCTGGTCTAGGTAGAAGAGGACATGGCCAATGATCAGGACTCTCTCCACAGTCCTTTCTGGATCAGAGGTGTCTTCATAGTGGTTGGGAAGGTCTCTGTACAAAGCCATCTGCCAGCGAATAGCCGGATCCTCGAGCTGCACATAGTTCAGAGGAAATCTATGTCAATGTCTCTTGTAAACAATTTAAACTGAAAACGTTTGTGTTTAATCTTATTAATAGTGTCCAGACACACTTTTACCACTTTAATCATGATTCAATCACAAGGCAAAAGCATTCTTACCTTCCCTTGTAAGTGTAGATTGTTCCTTAGGATCTCTCGGACTTCTTCCTCTGTGTCTTTCTGGTGAGGGATGACAAATACCTCAATCAAACACCTTGTACATAATGATTTGCATCTCCTTTTTCATCAATCTGTGTGTTTCATTTTAACAATCTCTGTATTTTGCTTCTGTTTGCTGAAAATTTCAGACACAGCTCAGCACAACTCAATACATCCTACCAGCCAGCGTGATGAAAGAAGCTTATCATCACTATTAATCCTCATATGTGAAGTTGTTTAAGGATTTGGTTTTGAAATGCATTACAGGGTGATTACATGTTTTTTTAATTTTGACTTAAAAAAGAAAATGCAACAATCAGAATGTTTAGCTATTAAATGAAGCAATCAATTCATCTCTTTACAGAATACAAAAGCTGAATGAGTACCATCTGACTATTTTCACTAAATACTTTTCAAGAATTTGACTTCAGGAAAATGGTTTGCAAACTCTGTAAAGTATGAGTTTGGATAAATAGATAACTGCTATTAAAGTAGTAGAGTAACGGTGTGTTGGAACCTGAGAGAACCGGCTTTTGGCCAGTGCGATGAGCTCCTGCTCTCCTGGAGCACAGATGTTGAGGCCTACAGGCAGCAGGCGCTTCAGAGTGGCCACGATCAGACTGGTCTGCATGGAGTATCGATCTCCTTTCCTCTTAATCTTCTTCCTCTCCTGGTCTGAGGCTATTCCCTAAAGGAAATCAAAAGAATTAGAAATACACGTGTGTGTGTACTGTATGAGTGCCTTAAACTTAGTGATTTGGATTAAATGAAGATTGAAATGTGCTTTTAATTTGTAATTTGCACTTCTTTCAAAAGTTCTGTTCATACCTTGGACATCTTGCACTTGGTGTCAGAGATAAGGAAGCTCATGTTGTTAATTTCATTTTGGACCACAAAATTCTGCTCTTCTCTTTTGAAATTCTGAAAACAAATGGAAAAAAAAAATGTTAAACGCTCCACAGTCACACTGATATGAGAAGTTATGAGAACTCTCCTTAGGATTGTATCATAGGAGCCTACAATGGGTTCATTTCACTGATTACCAGTCAAATGTAATAAATATGTACTACTACAATGGAAATGAAAAACAATGTTTTATGTTTAAATGGTGCCTGTTCAAATCTGCTGCAGTTACAACGTCAAAATGTTTCTAAATTCCTGCTGTACTACTAACAAAGAATTATATGATAATATCGTCATCGTTTTTTACTGTGTGCCTTCCATAACTAAACATTACTTGTTAGATTACTCACATACTTATTTTTGATATTAGATATGTTGTCATACTCTAATCACCCTATGAACCAGTTTACGTTCTAATAGATTTCAAAATGTTCAACAGAAGTAATGAATTATAAGTATATTATACTCAATTCTACTCTACCACTGGCTTTTTTCAATGCAACCAAGTAGTGCAACACCCTTTTGGTAACTTCTAATTCTCATCTATATCTACTGAGATATTTTCTTTGGTATATTTGAGAGATGTTCTTACATGAGACTTGGCCCAGAAGATGAAAATTTCCGCCACCATCCTGAACAGCTCCTCTGCCTCTGGGTCCGACTCTTTCAACCACCTCGCTCTGTAGAGCATTAAGCCACTCAGAGACAGTCCCTACAATAATAATCCATAATGATCATAATAATAAGCTGTGTCTGAGCAGTCCAGTACCTGTTGTAGTCCACAAATCGAATGAGCAGAGGGTAGAAGGCATACAGGTCTCTGACCAGTATGGTGAACTGGTCCATGATGAGAAGCTCTGTCTCTGACATCTCCCCTCTCCCCTCAACTTTGCTGTGTTCTTCATCCATCAGCACCACTGCTGCTTTCTGCACAGCATAGAAACAGCTCATTCATAAAAGACACAAAAAAATACTTTGCGATTTCATTTGAAAATAAGTTTTTCAATTGATTTCAGTGTTGAAAAAAAATCTTCACTGAATACATTTGTAGATGTGCTAGTTTAATGTGTGCAGTTTGTATATATACATATATATATACTGTACGCATGTGCGTGTATATATATAGATGTGTGTGTGTGTGCACAGAGAGAAAGTCAAAGATGTTGTAAGATCAGATAGATACTGTATGTAACTCAAGCTCCAAGGCCTCTGGTAGGGGACCAGAGCTCTATATTTCTATATGTACGGGTATATTTTGTCCAGAAATAACAAGAGCAAAGTAACAAAGACAGGACTTACTTTTTTTAGTTTTTCCATCAAAGGAAGAAAGTGTGTCTTCAGCAGTTGAGCCTTGGCTTTGCTGATGATTGGCTGAGAGAAGACTGTGGTGGAAACAAAAGCATTAGATTCATTACTAAAACATTTTATAAATCTCTCCACAGACATATTTCCATGTTCTCTGGTGCCCACTAATCAGACTTTTAGGGAAAATTACCAGCCAATCTCTTCATCCAGGTTCCCTCGTCGATCCCCAGGTTGTTGTAGATGATCTTGAGGATGTTTCCCAGCAGAGTGTTGATGTGCTGGGAGGTGACAGATGTGCAGCAGCTGTCGGCTCTGTCTGGGTTGCTCTCTGGCCCGTGTTCCCACCAGTGAGACATATAACTGCACAGCATGGGCAACACTACCTACATGATAAAGAAAAAAATACACGGTGACATTTTACTTGTTGGCAGTGAAAAAACATGGAAACAGAAATGACTGTGTGGGTAAAACCAAATAAATCAATACATTGATTGTCGTTTTTCTTTGAAAGGTCTCTTGATTGATATTAAGAAAGGCATAACAAAATCAATAAAAGGCAGCTAAGAATGATAAACTAGAGGTAAACACTGTAAAATAATACACAGTTCACACTGTATAGCAGATATAGAAAAACACAGTATACAGAAGAAACTATATATATATACTGTATATATATATCCCAGGGATGGATTTGAAAATGGAAAAATCATCTGAAATAAATTAAATGTTTAGGGGTGATACAAAAGAATGAAATAAGACATGTGTGTTTCACCTCCACAACATGGGGCATTTGGGTGTATCTGGTGCCGGACTCGGCCAGCTCCATGATCTCCTCCAGGAATTTGTCCAAGTTTGGAACCAAAGGACAAACGTCTCCAACTGGCCCAGGAAGACCTAAAGCTAAAGAGAGGTGGGAAGCAGTTCATTCCTACTGTGCACACAGGCACACACACACACTCTTTAATGCCAAAACTATTTGCTCATCCCACCAAAAAAAGGAAAATCAAGTGTTCCAATCACAGCCACAGCTGTATACAGTCCCAGTTTCCCAGCTCTTAAACCCAGTTAAAGAATTGCATGAATTAGCATTTTGCACTGTTGGATCTTAGAAAGGTTTTAAGTAGAGGTTCAAAATGCAAAAAGAAGAAATGGGAAGAAGAGACCAAACGTATTGAGCAGGAAATTTAATGAACGCAACAATTCAAATGAAATAGGCTAATCAAAAGTGTAAGACCACAAAAAAAAAAAAAAACGAAAGTCTCCTAAAACAGAAATCAAAGGCTAAAAAAAACGACTCAGTAATAATTAGCTCCACAATCATTGTTGATCACATCAAAAATTCATTTTGGCACATTTTATATTAGTGTTTTCAAAAGGCTAGTAGGAATGATGCTGCAAATGGTGAAGGACAAGAATTTAAATATGTTATCTGGTCTTTTGATCAGGGGTGAATATATGCATATATACTGTATGTTGATATAATCCCAACAGTACCAACAGTCAATGCATAACGTGGGGAAAAATGCTTGTACCTGCCCTGTCTTGACTTCCTTTGCTGTTGTAGATGGAAATGCTGTTAAACTTGTTGATGTGAGGCTCGAGGAATGCTACAGGAAACGCTGCTGAAAAAGCAGCTAAACACTTTCCGATGGCTGGCCGCTGTCTGGACAAACGGAGGGAAAAGCAGGACACTGTCACTTTAAGCACTTAACAGTGAGCTGGGAATTATTTAAAAAACATGAAGACAGGGTGTATTTTTTTGTATCGTTTCTTTTTAAGTTACAAGCAATGTATATTAGTAATATTATTTGCAATGTCTTTCTGAATCCGCCTGATCCAGAAAAACCGGGAACAGCTGAGAAACTGCATATGGCCCACTTTTATTTATTCTAAATCATTTATAGTATCACAGAGCACATGGTGCCAAAGTGGAAGTTTGACCTCTTTCAATGTAATGTGATTAATTAACTAGTTGGCCAAGTAACATAGCATTTTGTAATATTATAAATCTTCTGATTATTGTCATTGTCAGTTTATGCAGACTCAAAGACATGTATGTTCTATATTGGTCGAGGTCATACTCAAATTGAATACATACATTTTTTCCTGATCCACAAGTGACAATGACATGGCCAAACAGGCTGCAATCCATTGCCAAATAATAAAAAACATGGTTTGTGAAAATCTAAGTGGGCTAAAAAAGTAACTTTTTAAAGATAGACGATGTATTCTGTATGTTTGTTAGAGATGTGCACCTTTTGCTTTTAAGGGTTTGTGTAATGTACTGTACCTCTCCACATAGATGCTTTTGTTGGTTCCCAGAAAGTATAGGATATTCAGAATTTTGTAGCAGGAGACCTGGACATCATCCACTAGAGCAAATCAGGCAAGGACACGGTTGGAAATCTGACAACATAAAACCTAAAAACTCAAACTCAGCCTTTTCACTCACATAGGAGGTCTTCTCCAAACATATTCTGGCCGATGTGCTCAAACAGGGAGGACAGCACGGGCAGCAGGGCGAAGGTGGTGTAGTTGATGATCTGGGTGACGCCTCGGGGCTGCTCCCTGCTGTGGGTGAACTGGCCCAGCTTCAGGTTTTCCTGAGTCATTTCCAAGTCCTCCGCCACATTGTCGAAGTATGAGCGCAAAGCTGCCTTCACCGGCTCCAGGCCAGTTTTCATCACCGTCCTGTTAGAATATAAGATTCAGTTATTATGTTCTGGATCCAGTATTGTTTCACTGGCTTTCACCTGTGAGGATACTTTTGAAGTCTGATTACTCTTTTGAAAAAGTCCAATGTTTGTGCATGACAGCAAACTTTACAACAACTTGGGTTGATCTTCTCTTGTTCTTCAGCTAAAAGTAAGGCTAGCAATACAGTCACATGAATAAGTACCGGTAATGGAATTTCTAAATCTTGTGTGGGCATAATTATAAAACAGACAATCCGATCTCTGTGACATTATCCAATAATAATATGCTAATATTTAAGAAACTTTAAATGGTAAAGCACTGTGTGAAAAATTAAGCTCTTCTCATCTTCTGCTTGTTTGTAGAACCACTTTCAGCAGCATGAAGTCATCATTCTCTGCATGAAATCCTCAGGATTAACAATGTCATGCAGGGATTTTGACCAACTCGTCCCTACAGGACCACTTTGAGCTTCATCCTGTCTTATGACATACGTTATTTTATTCAAACTTTATATGTCAAGGCAGTTGGTATTACTTAGTTTTTTTTAAACAAATGTATATTTTTATTTAATAATTACTGAATTAGAAATAAGAGTGTTTTATGTTTAGTTTAATCTAACATATTTACCTCATTCTAAGACTCAGTAAAGAGTGGATTACTCTTATTGTATCCCGGTACAGTGCTCATCATTACAGGAGTGTGATAATGTAACTAAGTAAATTCAAAGTTCAATTCATTTCAAGTTTTAATATGACATAATTATTTGTGCAGAAGAGTATAATAGATTAACTTATATCTCACTATGCACGATTAAGCAAAAGAGATAAATAAATTAAATAAAAAGTTAAAGACACTCATAGAAAATATATTTTCTGATGACTTCATCAATAAACCAATAAACTTTTTCTTCAGATTAATCTTTCACAAGACTGCTGTATTTTCACTGTTTTGTAGTCTGTAATGTTAATATTTACATTTAAGCCCAGTTTACCTGGCATCTAGGCTTTGTCCCAGGATCTGCAGACAGTTGACGATGGATGTGGCGTTGTTTCCTGGAGAACAGGGATCATGACAAGAGTCGTAACAGGAACTGAACACTTTATGAGGACATTTGATTTCTTGTAAAAAATAAAAAATAAACATGTCAAAGATACCTTTAAAATCCGGGATCTTTTTTGCTTTAAATGCTGTTTAGTGTCTGTTCTGACTCTTAAATGTTTTATTGAGCAAAGGAGGCGCATCATGTTGAAGTGGAAGACACCATACGGGCTGTTACATCAATACTTTGGTACCAAATTGAAGGTTTATTGAAGGTTTATTCTACCCATTAACATATATTTGCCTGTAAATATTCAGGAATTTCCTGAATGCATATGTGAAATTCTAAGGCATTTTTGGCCCATTTCACTCCTTTTCAGGATTTATTTGTAGGTGATAACATCAGAATATTAAGTTTAAAAAAGAACATGAATGCAAGTTTAAATCTTTTACAAAAGATGCTTTACAAATCATTCAAGGAGAAAGGAAAAAATGTATAGTGTACTCTTACCAAAAAGGGAAATCCTATGCCTGACAAGAACTCCCAATTTGCAGAAAAGACTAAAAACATTCAGCAAACAGAGAGGAGGAGGTTAGAAGACAAAGTAGGAATAAATGAGAATAGAGCTGTGAGAAAAAACAGGCCGAGAAAATTGACCAGGGAAATAAAACACACACAAAATCCTCAATGAAAGAAAAACGAAGAAAAAGAAAAAAGAAAATTACTTAGCTATGTAGGAAATTAATAGAGAAAGTAAATTTTAATAGAAAATATAATAGGAATCAACACAGGTTTAGGAAATAAAGAAAAATAAATCAGATAAAAATTGTTTACTAAATCATAAAGCATGTAAGCCATTAAAAATGGGCTTTTGAAACAATGATTTCTTAATAAATGTGTATGTTTTTGCTGTTACTTTGAGGTCAGTGTAAAGTGGGGCAGATCTACACAGTCCACTATGCCCTTTTGCACCTGGTCACTCACCTGCTGACCATCTCTTTCTCCTTGTTGGAGGCGTGGCCCCCACTGCTGATTGGATGTATGGCTGTGGACAGGAAGTACAGCCGGTGGTTTTTAAAGTACTGATCCACCAAGGGCAAAACCACCTGGTGGCAAAAAGACACACACACAGTTTCTATAACTTACAGATCACCTATTTATCTTGTCAGTGACACATTTTGTCTTAAGTTTCTAAGATGTTTCCTTCTGTAAAACCATTAAAAGCCGTTTAAAACAGTTTACACTCATCACTGCAGTACCAGGCTTTTAGACTGTTTGCTTAGTGAGTTTTTTCACTGGTTTGACAAAATAATTAAAACCTTAACCAAACAATATCTTAAAAATGGAAGACTTTGGACTTCACTTCAGACCAAGACACTGAACGGGACATTCACAGGCTGAAAGTTATCCCATATCCAGAAATTCTGAAGAATTTCTGGATATTTTATTAACATATTGTAATTAACCAAATACATTTGTTCTGTTGCAAACTGCTGAATTTTAGAAAGTGTTTGCACCATCCTTAGTTAATCATCTTTTTTCTTTGTTTGAGTATTGGCTCCACAGAAGATCCCCTCACTTTTCCTTGGGTCCAGTTCAATCAGGCACCTTTCTTAGAAGCACAGGAATCAAACGCTCCAAAGCATCCAAGACTCACTCTAACAACCATTTAAGTTCTCTAAGTTATGGGGAAACAAGATTCTGAGCTTCCTGTATGAAACTTTTAACAAAAGCAACACTGAATCATCATTTACGACAAAAAGAAGTTAATTTTGTCCCATAATTAATTGCAGCTGAAAGTACAATCAAATTTAAACTTTTCCAGTTGTACTGTATAAATGCAAATACTTTTTCTTAATTTAGAAGATCTAAATGCACAGACCAAATGTAAAATGTGTTTCTTAAACTAATATAAAAAGCTTTTTTGATCAAATGGATTTTACGTTCAGGCTAAAGTTCTACGTTGGGACAGGTACAGTTTCTATGTGTGCTGATTGACTGACGTTTCACTACTGCTTCATATCAGCAAATATTTGTCCGCACAAATAAGCAACTGACTAACAACAAAAATAAGAGTAAGAATAAAAAGACATGGACCTTTGCAAAGAACTTAATCTGCTGTTCATGAGGAATCTTCTCCCCTTTTGGCCTGGTTCCCTCATCTGAATGACAGAAAATAAGATTCATGAGAAAGCATGTTACTTCCAGGGGTTCAGCGAAGAGAGAGCGACAATACAGATATACAGTTTAAATGCGTGTGTGTGTGTGTGTGTGTGTGTGTGTGTGTGTGTGTAGTTCATGTTGGTGTGTCAGGGTGGGGAAGACATGAGTACTGCAAAGGGGATCATTTGAGTTTGACTATCCAGTTTGCATGTCTTTTGTAGATTTGGAAATGGCTTTTGACTGCGTTTTGACTTTGTGTCTTGATTCTACATTTGTAATGAAAATGGCTCTGGAGATCCAGACTAAATTGGGGTGAAATAATCCATCTTCATTTATTTTTCTCCTTTTTAAAGTTTTTGTATGTATTGCTACTGTACTTCTGTATGTTTCTGATCAATGAAAATGATCAGGAGCAGCAGTTTTGACATTGCTCATTTGACCACCAAACCAGGGATGCTGTTGAGTGTTGGGTTGTAAAGCTCACCGAACTCCATCATGTGTTGGTGAGCCTGGTCCACATATGTGATGAGCTTGTAGAGGAAGGTGTACGCAAAGCGCTTCTCAATAGCTGGAGTGTCCAGATCCTGCGACTTCATACCTCTGGAAACACAGAAGGCATTTACTTATAAAGTCATTTTCATCCTTACGAGAATTAAAAGAGTACCATCCAGCTATCCATAGATAAAGTGAATAACTCTTCTTGATTAATAGAATGGACTCATTTGGAAGCCTGTGATAAAACTGTTCTTGTTGAGGGGTTTTGAAAGAATTACCATAATTTACTAGTTTAGCACTTTTTGTGGTTTGTTGTTCAAAAATCTTCCCAGAATTTGGAAATGGTTCAGAGCAGCTGACTACTGTGGCACAGTTTTTTTTATAGTCACCATTTAAACTTTTATCTTTCTAATCTGGATTGATCAAGTTTCTTTATTTCAAAGCCTTTGTTAAACACACTAAGCAGCACTTTTTAGTGTCAGCTATTTTATTTTTCCTTGTGGATTCTTGCTTGGTGAATTTTTAAGTTTAAAATAACATAGGAGGTTATTTTCAAAATATTGTGATATATATTGTGTATCGAGATGTTGGAAATAAAAAAAAAAGTAGAAATTGAACCCTGTTAAACAGTTAGTAACGGTTTCTCAGCAGGTGTCTCCAAACCAGTGGCTGACACATTAAAGCTATGAACATCCTATTTCTGACCAGCAATGGAAGCCCACACCGTGTTCAGCACTGGAAAGCTCATTTGTGTGACATCTTTACTATTCATTTATTTTTTATAGAAATCTCTCATCCATTCTTTTAGTAGAAGATACATCTTAATTGCATATTGTTTTAATATATACATTTCAAATATAATGTTCTTAATCTTCTGATCAGAGAACCAAATGTTAACAGAAACAATTACCTGGACACATTGTAGCCATTGATCTGGAGGAATTTAAGGATGTCTTGTGCTTTTTCTCTGTCTTTCAACTTTTCTTTCGCAGTCAGTGTATCATAAGGAACCAACAGGGGATGGCTCCCCCCACCTGAAGACAACACCATCACAGGAGAACGCACAACAGAGACTGACAGGTCAGTGAATACACTCATCCCTTTAAAAAGCTGATGACGGCACCATGGTCTGCACGTCACAGTACTGCCCAGATGATCAGTTTAAGCTAAATATTTTTTATTTTTCTCCCAAAAAGATCCAAATGGTTAATTGTGCACTTGCTAAGAATTCAGTTCATTCTACATATAACTCAGCCGGAAAGATAAAAGTATTTTTGTCCATATGGTGGCAACACTAAAAGTTAATGAGGATGAAAGCAAAATGAACTAAGAAAGTACAAAATAATTCAAACGTATGTTCGTGGGGTGGTTATGTGTCACCTTTGGCCTCAAGCTCCATTTTCTTCTTCCTGGCCCAGATATTATGGTAATTCTCTGCCAGCAGCTCTGCCATAGACTGTGGACACACAATTAGAATTATCTTTAATCATCATATGTGGTCGTGATAGCCACAGACCAAATAATCTGTTTAAAACCTTAGTGTTTTGTCTTATCAAGTACAATAAATCCATCCACCCTTTTGGAATTACCTGCATGTCTCTGGACAGCGTGACGTTGCTCACATCTATTGGTCTTGGACAGAAAGCTGGAGCTCCTTCAAATGATACCTATGGAAGACAGGATGTATGATGTAACGTCACAACTTCCGTTTGAAATATGACTTGATTTGACTTAAAAATGTGTGTGTTTGTGTTCGTTGGTGTTCAGGTTAACCTGGCTGGTCTGGGATATCCGTCTGGATTTGTTGTGGAGACTGGCCTGGTCTCCTTCTCTGTTCCTATCAATTCTCCAGCCCCATGACAGCATGGTCTTCAAAGACTCCCTAACCGGGAGGCAGTATGCCTCCTTATCCTGCACGACACAAGGACAACTTCCAATCACCAAAACCGACATCAAACATTAATGAAGCATGCAACACACTGACCTCTCATCATAAAAAGAGTTCAGAGATCAGCCTAAACACATGCCACAAAGTCCAATCACATTTGTCAAAAGTTGAATAAAAAAATTCATTCTCTCACACATTTGAAGTGATATAATAGATTGTGCATGATTAAAAACACTCCTGACTCCAAACTAGTTAAACAAGAGTTTGTTAAAGGCTTTTTAAGACTTGTTAAATAAATCAATATTTAATATGGGTGGGATTCTCTTTTTACGTGACATGTTCTATAAGAAAGATGTCAACAACTGGCTCAAACTACCTTTTCAGGAAGGCTTTTGAATGGTTTCAGTAGAGGATGCATCTTCCTGGTCTCACACAGAGGTTCCCCACAGGACCAGCCATTAGAAAACTAGAAGACAAAACACAAAGGTACTTCAAAATGATCAGATTTTATGTCACAAATCTACTCCAGCTTCCTGCCACCGTCCAGAAGCATGCACGCTAGGTTCAATGAACACTCTAGGCCGTGTTTGAGATGTGTGTTGCATGGTGTTGTTGTTGCTGCCTGTGCGTGTTTGTTGGTTTGTTTTGTTGCTTGTTTTTTGTCATCCTTGGGTCTGCTTCCAGGTGCTCCTGAATGATTTCCACTTGGATTGTCCATAGAGGCAACAGGATGTTTTCTGTTTTCTACAGAGAGAGCAGCTGATTGTACGGTTTTTAGGCTTTTTATCCATTAAGCCTCCCTTGGCAAAGCAAATGTGTTCAGCATAATGTGATACCCAGATTTCAGTTCTGCTGCCAAAATGCTGAACAGGGTCAAAAACAAAGAACGGTCTGTGTTGCCAATAGATTAGTTAAAGTATTACAGAATTTCATAATCATAACAGCAAGTTGGAAAAAGAGATGAAGAGACTAAACAGTAATAATGGCACTGTCTGTGCCACTGTGCTACATGCTGCTTTCCCTTTCCCTCCAGCTCATCACTCCGTCAGGAATAAGCTCTGGTCTGCTCTCCACTCACCCTGAGGCCAGCGCAGTGTACAGGACACTCTTAACACAGACTCCTAAACAGTTCACCCTGCATAACTTTTTGTCCCTCAGATGTCTATTTCAGGAACTATGTCCTCCTTCTTTTGAGCGACTTTAATGGAGTTACAACCATTCAACTTGCCTGCCTTTGTCAGTAATGTTGCTCTCTAAATATTGGCATTGGAATCAATTTAAGACATTCTTCCTGGACTTAATTGGATCATTTGAAACTGGAATAATATTATCCATCCACTATTTGATTTAAATTGCTGGAAGCAATGAGGATAAACCCAACAGGTCATGTCTCTTAGATCCCATCTGATTATATCTCACTCTTATATTTTTGTTTTGTGTCAAAAGCGTCATATATTGCATAATTTTTAAAATCTACATTTCAAGGCAGGTTTTCAGTTTAGTTTTAAGGCAAATGGATTCCTCCTTTACCAGAAGCGGGTGCTTATTTTACTAAGATTTTCAGCAGCCGAACATAGGCATCATAACAAAAAAAATGTTTGATAAAAAAATGTATCAATCCAGGAAATCACATGCAGTAAGTCTGCCGCGGTGGTGATGTGAAACAGGGGTCCAGTCACTGCCCTGTCTGGAGCTAATCTTATTTACACATTTGGCCAACCTTTTCTTTATTACATAGGTCATTATGACAGTTACTCTGTCACATGACAGTACTAGTTTTAAGTCGGTTATAATAGTGACTGACCAAATATAAACATAAAAACAGATTCAGCACATCATGAAATGAATTAAATAAGACATAATCACTCCTCTGCTTACCTTTTCTATACACCATCTCTCATGATTGAGCTCTGCGTATCTGGTTATGAAATAGTCCAGCTTTTCAGGGACATTCACACTGAGGAAAAGAAGATGGAAGAAAACACATATTGACAAATGGTACTTTGTGCTCTGATCCAAGCTACATATACATGAATGCTTTAGTAAAAGGAATCCTTAATAACACTGGACTTCAACTCAGATTCATAACTGGGATCAGACTGTACAATATTTAAGTGAGTATGTATCAAACTAGGAATAGATGGAGGAAATAGGATGTGTACTTTGTGGTGTCTGCAGGCTGAGGAATGAAGTTTCCCTCTGAATCCATAGAAGAGTGTTTCTCCAACATAGACATGTAGTTTGATTCCATGTAGTCTGGGGGAAGGGCTCCGGCCACAGCACTGAGACACGGCAGTGCTAGCTTGAACAGCTCCTGGTCGTACTTCTGCATCATGAGAACACACTGTAAGTAACGCTCTGCTCCATTCCTCTGTAGACAGAAACGTTTGGCTGAAACTGCACACTGTGACTGGTTGCAGAGGGGGACGGGAATGGCCCTGCATATACTTAAACAGAAATATTTCAAATGTACCTAATGTTTAAAAGTTTGCTTTTCTCACTTCTGACCTGTCTTGTATTGGTTAAATGTAAAAAAAAAAACGTAATCACCGGAGTAATATATATTTTTTATCTATTCTGACGCTAACCGCCTCACCTTGCATGACAGAGCATCAAATATTCCCCAGAAAAGTTTCCTGGAGAGGTGAAGCTCTTCATCTGAAGTGACTCCAAAGTTACCCCAGCCTCCAGCAAGGCAGTAATACTTCCAGCAACGCTCATAGTGATTGGTCAGCAGCTGTAGAAGGTGACCACAACTTCATCATTTAGACAGCTTTTATATCTTAAACTTAAATAATCACAATTCCAGCTTATGTATAAGGCAGAGTTCCTAAAACTGAACAACTTGAAAAACATAGACTGAACAGAGGCAAAATAAATGTTTTCCTATCACCTTTAGAGGCATTTTGGAATGTTCACTGAGCAGGGGGACGTCAAACACCAGCCTCCGGAGCAGGTGCTGCATCATCGAAGGTCTCAGTGTGCTGCACAGAAGAAATATCTCAATAAAACGCACTATGGATGAAATGATAAGTAATTCTCCTCTTCAGGAAACTAAAAACACATCTATGATGTGCAGTGGGACTGATGTGATACTTTGTTTTAGCAGGAGAATCCCTGTCTTACCCACAAACCGTGACCAGGCACTCCTCTATGGCGTCCCTCTGAGCTTTGGTCAGGCAGCAGCCTTTGGACAGGCGGTAAACCGTGTGAAGGAGGGAGTCGATTAATGAGGCAAACTGCTCGGCCCCCGCAAACAGAGGAGCACATTTGGTGAGGAGGGGCAGCACTGCTGTGCACAAGTACCTGTTGAGGGCAAGTGCCATGTCGGTGGCACTGAGAGCAACCTGGAGGACAGGCAGAGGGGGAGACATGATCTGTGTGGGGGGGTCTGAGCCCTGGAGGAGTACAGTACAAATGAACAGCAGCCGGGGTGATGAGGGACATCTATTTTCAGACTTACAGTGTCTAGGGAGGCAGCAGCTCTTAGATCTGGTAAGAATCCAACCTCAAGGAGGTGTAGAAGAAAATTCTGGTCTTCTATACCATAGACACGATCTAGGAACAACACCATGGCGGCTTTGTGGTCCGGACAAAATCCTGCTGACATGTCGGGCTCCACAACCAAACCATCTGTGCATGGACAGGCCCAAAAAAAAGAACAAACACATTCAAAAACAAGTTTAAAAAAACAGTTTCATTCATTTTATAAGGTTGTTAGGATGAAAGGCCTTTACACATATCCATCTTTTTTCCTTTGTTGGATATGTGTGAATTGGGATTTGCTCACCTTTGGTCAGGTTTGGCATGGAGAAGGGAATGCTGATGACTCCAACCAGGTCTTCTATGGGAATTAGAGACCTCAAAATGGCCCTGATCCGGATTGCTTCACCTTTGCCGGCGTGGATGAGCTGGTGTTAGAGGGGAAAGGTCCCGGTGAGAACGCTGTGTGTGTGAGACTCTGCAGGTGTGAGCCTGGTCTGAGGTAGGTGACCTACATGCATCTCTGGAGCACAGCGGCCCAGCAGGTCAATGAGCGCCGAGTAGAAGGTCATGATGGCGTTTCCCATGTGGATGGTTTCATCCTCCTCTTCTTCCAGCACGTCGGTGCTGCAAACACACACACAGACTAACTCCACATTACAGACTTCTAACCATGAACTGTGCAGCTCCCACCGGAGCCTGCTCTCCTTTTGGTGGCTGTGCTTATATTGTGATTGTTGTATAAGGGGAAAAACATTATGCAAAGAGATTTGTAAACCTTTATTTCCTGCTGTTTTAATGATTTTGAAGTTTGATTTCTGCTTACACAAGACTGGGATAGTAAAGGGTTTCCCTTAAAGTCACAGCAATGGACATGAAATGCACGACGTGGCTGCTCCTGACTCTGAAGACAACGTTCATTCTGAGCACTGTGATGGGAGATTTTCACTAAATGCAAAATATTGTTTGACCATCTTTGCATTATCAGTATTCTTGAAAAAGGACGCCTCAAAAGAGTTCTAAAAATTGTACACAGAAGTGTAATAGTATTGTGCTAGCCCATGGCCAGACTCTTACTTCATAATTCAGAAAAGTTGCTGTGCACAAAACGGGGCCTAAAACTTGCCTTTCCACACAAAGGTTGTCATTAGTAAGAAAAACTTGACAGGAAGATGTGGGTCCCTGGACACACTCGGTGGGGAACTAAAGCCACACAGCCTCATGAACCCTCAGAAATTTCACTTCACATCAAACTTTAATCAGCAACTTAATAAGAAGAATTTAAAACAGGAGTGTTATTTATGCTTGCTTTGGTGACCCAGAACAACATATCAGGATCTTTCAAACAAATAAACATCAGCCTTTAAGACAACTTCAATCTTAAATCAAAGTCTTCTCAACATTTGGTCAGTGTATTCTCACCCCTCCCTGATGGTCACCAGGATGTGTGAACTACATAGTAACACAAAGATTGAGCCTAAGTTTGAAAGCTGACTGATGTGTAATGTTGTGTAATGGATGCCTTGGCACTGCTGGAGGACATTGCAAATAGGAGAATTAGGTTGGAACGCTTTTTCAGGAGAAGCCACTACACAATTCTGCCAAATGATCTACAGGTCAGGGAGATGGAAGCCAGCGCTAAGCGATGTGTCTGCCATCCTGGATGGCTTTCATTCAGATTTAGGGTTAAACCCAGGAAAGTACTGTCTCCGGAGTCTTACAAAACCTCGGTGAAAAGCTTCCAGGTGATCTAAAATGCTGCAGCCAAAATTCTGATCAGATCATAATCTCTAGTTTTAGCTTTGTTGTCAAATGTAAAGTTCTGCTCCTCAGGGGCCAAACTGATTCAGAGTTTCTATTTTCAGAGCACAGCATTTAAATTTGAGCCTGGCTAAATTGTAGTTCCTAGAGAGTTAGACAAAACATGACATATGGAAGTAGGCCCCCTCAATGCTCTCTGCATTCCAATCTAACGTTAGTTAACTAATGTGTGTTTGTTCTTCTCAGCAGCTCTGCTGGCTTCTGCTCTGGTACTTGATGACCCCTCTTTCCTATCAACCCCCAACTATTCAGCCAGATGGCTTCTCTTCACAAGGCTGGTTTTATTGAGATGTCCCTTCTCTTAAGGGGAGTTTCACTCTCTGCTGTCGGTTCAGCTCGTGGATATTTAGGAAGGGGGCACTGATTAAAAGATTTTTTTATGAAATCTGTTTCTTTAACTGTTTCGTTTAAGACACGGATTGTGAATTGCTTTGACAGGACTATATGTCTGAAGTTTCTCGTGATTGCAAAACCAAATTGAATTTTTTTTTTTTTTGGGAAACATAATTCTGGTAAGGAAAAATATCAATCGTCTTTTGCAAATGTACACTCCACAAATGGTGCTGTGCACCTCGCTCCAGCATAATATGGATTGCATATGAGCCTGAAAACCTTATTCTTTCATGAAGGATCTGGGGATGGGGAATAAGTGTTCAGGTAGTCTTACATTGATTTGCTGCTCTCAGATTTGGGGGATGGACCATCTCTGGAAGCATCTTGGGATATCTTAATGGCGTCCCCTATGGCTGCCAGCAGCCCGTCACCACCCTCACCTCGGAGCGCGGGGCCAAAGCACTCAGGTCTGCGGATCAGAAGCCTCACCACTACGTTGGCATTCTCCTCCACACTCTCCCCTGTGTGAAAAAGTGTCATTAGTTAGACCACTGAAAGAGGTGTATTTCAAATATTAAGACAATATCATTTTTTTTACCATTGCAGAACACAGCAAAGCGCAAGAAGTCCAGGTATCTCTCCCCTTCCACAGGGTTCCAGCCTATGTCTGGGTATCCTTTGTGCAGCAGCATCACACAGCTCTGCAGCCCACAGCCGGCCAGATACTGGACCACCTGTGGTGGGAGGGGGTGGACGGGGATGAGAGGGTTCAGAGTGCTTTACAGGAAATATTTTAAAAAGAAAATGCATTAAAAAAGGCAGTTTAAAAGCAGAAAATTAAGAAAAAGTTCCCAAACATAAAACAATAAAAAAATCATTGATTCAATAGATTAAAGGTGAAGAGAGCAGACAGAATACATTCAGTTGTCAGATCACAGCTAAACAGAACTGATTTAAACATTCAGAGTTGATTCCTGACTCTCTTCCTCAGAAAGACTGATCCAGATTTTAGGAGCATGGAACTGAAACACACCTTCACCTGGTTTGGTTCTGACTGGGCACCACCAAGAGACCAGAACCTGGTTCTGAGAGTCCGGCTGGTTCATCTGGTTCTAACATGTCAGAGATGGACTCTGACCATGAAGAGACTCGATCAGATCAGAGCTGTTTTACAGTCTGTTCTCTGAGTGACAGGAAGCCAGAGCAGAGACCTGAGAGCTGGACTGATGTGGTCCTGGTTCCTGGTTCTGGACTGGACTGATGTGGTTTTACTTCCTGGTTCTGAACTGGACTGATGTGGTCCTGGTTCGTGGTTCTGAACTGGACTGATGTGGTTTTACCTTCTGGTTCTGGTCAGAACTGGAGCAGCTGGTTCTGGGTGTTCTGCAGCTGGCTAACAGCTGGTTCAGAGCCCAGTAGCAGCTGTTCCAGCAGTCCAGCCTGCTGGAGACTAAAGCCTGGATCAGTCATCTGGGTCTGGTTCAGACTCTGTTCATCTGGTCCTGGATCAGTCATCTGGGTCTGGTTCAGACTCTGTTTCTCTGGTTCTGGATCAGTCTTTCTGGGTCTGGTTCAGACTCTGTTCCTCTGGTTCTGGATCAGTCATCTGGGTCTGGTTCAGACTCTGTTCCTCTGGTTCTGGATCAGTCATCTGGGTCTGGTTCAAACTCTGTTCCTCTGGTTCTGGACCAGTCTTTCTGGGTCTGGTTCAGACTCTGTTCCTCCTGTTGTGGATCAGTCGGTCTGGGTCTGGTTCAGACTCTGTTCCTCTGGTTCTGGTAATGGTTTCAGAAGGTAAAAGGCTGCTGATGTTATTGGTCTAATGTGGCTGTTGAAGTTCTGGTCTGAGTCCAGTTTTACACCAAGATTCTTAACCTGGTTTTTAGGTTCCAGAGAGAGTCTGATGGTGACTGATGACACTTTCTCTTAGTTTTGTGGGCCACAGACAATGATTTCACAATGATTTTTGTCTGGGTTTTATTTGGAGAAAGCTGTTCATCCACAAACTGATCTGTTCAGTACAGCGATAATGTTGAGAAGCACAAGTATAAAAGAATATACTATCAATAGCATGTTCTCATAAAGAAAAAACACCTCACCTTCTCCAGGTCCGGCTCTCTCAGAGCAAGGGCCAGTTCGTTATTATCCATCACTGAGGCAGCGGCCACATCTAGAGGAGTGGAGCCTCGCATGGACGGAGACGCTAACCAGAGGAAACGTGGGAAAAATGTCAGGAGGCTACAGAGAAAAGAACATCACTATTTTGCCACTGTGTCAAAACATAACCCTGATTCTTATTTTTCATGCTCTTAAATTGTGTTATTGTATACCTTCCTTTTTTTTTCTCCAGACAAGCACCAGGACTTTTCCAGGGTACTGACTTTTCTCACTGCTGTAAAATAAACCTTTGTCCAACAACTCTGAGCCTCACTGAGACTTGTGTTAACAAAAGAAAACCAAGTTCATGATGAAAATTCCTTGGTAATAATTATAAATTTCTCAAGGCTGAACTGTAAGATATGTTGAAATGTTCTGCTGACTTCAACTGAGGGCTGTAGAGAATAAAACCGACCATGGGGATATTTTATAATGCCAATAATCGAATGTAGCACGTTGCATACGCAGCAACTTGTCAGATTGAAAACTATCTTGTTTGTTTTTCCACTTGTGAAGAATCTTTCTGGCAACTGAATAAAAGAGTGTCCACAGTTGTTTAAAAAGGCATTCTGTGTGGATCATAATGAGAAGCAAACTTTGGAACGCCCTGCCTTCTGTACTAAGCTGCTCTGTGGCTGTTGTCTCTTGTAAGAAGCAACTGAAAACTTTTTATTCAAGCAAGCTTTTAGCTATGAGTTTGTGAATTTCACCTATTGACCTCTTGTTAATGTATTCTTTTATGATTTTATCGTTGTGTTTTTTGCAATACTTTTTATGTATTTGATTGTGAAGAACTTTGTAAATATTATCTGTGACAGGTTGTATATAAATAAAGTTTATTCACTCACTTACTTGCACATCTTTTGAAAAGTAACATCTTATCTGTCCATACAAATTAGATTTCTATCAGTTTCTGCTTATATTACCTTTCTGTTCTACTATCAGGTGCTGTGGGGCAATTACATCTAAATCCTGTAGAGTGTAGACAACATAGACTCACCAAGGCCAACACTGCTGTTCTCTAACAGGTAGCTCAGATGGTCAAACATGGCCTTCTGGTTCTGCCGGCTGATTCGACAGAAGTAGCACAGAAAACGACAGCAGTTGGCGACCATTTTGGGAAAGGTGATTTCCTGCATACACACAGGAAAATAACACATCAAATACAGAAAAGGAAGATGTCTTGTTTATCATTTCTTCATCTACTTGTTTCAATTAATACAAATATGAATGAAAAATGCTGTGTGAAAATATTATTTATCATGATATTCTACATGACAGCCCTAAAATCATTTATGTTTGACCCTTTTCACTATTTGGAAATGACTCTAATCAACTTTCCTCCTGCTTAGTAGGATATTCACAATCTCTGGTTCAGCGTACCTTGGAGTCTCCTCCACTGAGAACATTAACCATCACCTCCATGACCGTCTCATGCATCCCTAGAGCTCTCATCAGGTTAGGATGCTGGTAGAAGACCTTGTTGTTCATTATGTCACTGCAGATGGAGGGAAATTATTTCAAAAATTCATCGTGGAACACTGAATGCAAACATGAGAGGCCGGGAAAAGTCTTTTTTTGGAGCGTGCTCTGACCTGAGCCCTCTGATCATCAGCTTCTCCTCTTCCCTCCCCATGCGGACACTCAGCAGAGACCTGATCTGACCCAGAGCTGCCAGCAGGTTTATAGTGTCCTCGATCGATACGGAATTTATTGTGTAGGTCTTAGGAAGAGCTCGCACCTGAAAATGGAAAAACAGACTTTTTTTCTTTTTTTTACTCCCACATTCTTATTCCAGTCCTAGGAGCTGTGCAGAGGTACTTTATCAGGCATTGAACTTTCAGGGAGAAGTGTTTTTGCGGTCCATTAACTGTGGGTACATTTTACCTGCAATGGAGTGGCAATTATTTGGATAATTCATTAAGGATTTTGTCTGTTAATCTTCAGATTTAGTACTGCCCAAACTTTCAGAGCAAGCTGTTGGAGATTAAGTGACTTTTTTTTGCATATTTTCTTAGATCCTGCCTTATTTCAAATCCTGAATCCGAGATCAAAATGACAATATATTGACATTTTTGTCAAGTCTATAAATCATAAAGATAGAAAGGTGTAAAAATAAGACAGTTTAAACAGGGTCTTCAATAATGTGGTCGATTAACAGTGACCAGAGACACAGGATTACCTGTCCTCCAATCCCATCGTATTGGCGGTGGAGCAGGACAAACATGGCCCTGACCAGTTCTGGATCCTCTATAACAGACTCCTGAGCCCAGCGCACCATGGTGTCTGAGATGAGCTGCTGTAGTGTGCCTGTTTCAGCAGACAGAGAGGAGATGAGAATGAGCGTGTGATAACACACGTTAACAAGTCATTAATCCATTTCTCTATTTTCATTAACCTTATCGTGTGTTGTATTTGGTGCTTTTACAAAATAACTAAATAAATGAATGAATTCAACATTTCATTAATCTGTGAGGACAGAAACGAGCAGAGGTCTGTGATCAGATCCTCTGTTGTATCCAAATTAAATGAACACTGATTTAAGACAGGAGAATGACATTCTAGACTCAACTAACATTTCATTTATAATAAAAGGCCTACAGCAGGTGGAAAATGTCTATATAACTGTTGCTTTTTGCAGAGAACTTACTGGGCCTCTTGTCTTTTTTCTCCTTAGGCAGACTGCCCATCTTTTTCTTCAGATAAGACACTTTCTCCACCAGTGACATGAGACGCCCTCGTATGGTGAAGTCGCTGTCCCCGTCTATTCCTCTCTCCTCATCCAACTCTAAACTTGACAGGATTGAGGAATTAGTGCACACAGACAGTTTTGTATTGATAAATCAGCACTATACAAATGTCAGTGACTTGTTTTCTTTCTTTCTTTTTTTCTTATTGACATTTTCTTGATAAACAGACCACAATGTCTCATTAGATCTTCATGGAAATCCAGAAGCTGCTCCCGGATGTTTTCAGGACAGGGACACTCCTGCTTCTCATCCTTAAAGTTCAGCAGCATGTTGATCTGCAGAAAAACACAATCTCATTCCAACATCTCATTTTAGGAATCATTTCCTTAAAGGGAAAAGCAGAAAAGGCTCAGCTTTCTGTGTGAGGAGATTCAGACTTTGCACAAGAGATGATAAAAATGTTTTTCTTACTCCCTCAGATGGACTAAGACGCTTGTTTAAAATGAAAAAATTCAACAAAACCTGTTAAATGACAGTTTAAAACTGTCATCAACTGAAAATTGAATTGGATTGGATTGTGTTTTACACCTTTGGTGACTATAGACTTTGCATATCTCCCAAGGAACAGGAAAAAGTTATATATCCAAAATATATCACCTTTTATTGTTAATTATCTATTTATCTATAATCAACCTGTACGTAGATGACTTCCATTGAGTCGTAGGTCCTTTTGATAGTTGTCATGCTTAAAAGCAATGTTGTGTCTCATTTTGTCTGGTGGGCTTCTCTATGTTCGACCCCCTCATGGCGGCGTACCTGTTCCTGAGGAGGAGATCTGAACTCTTTGGTTTTCTTGGCTGTGAGGGCTGCTGACATGTTGAGCGCCAGCATCACCTCGTTGTAGCGAAACCGCTGGTTGTCTTGGAGGAGAGCAACAAAGTCATCAGAAAAGGCCACAACTGCCTCAATACGATGTCGCACCTGGCAGTCGCACAGGTACTGCAGCACGTGGCACATCTGCAGGCACAGACACACAACCGTCAGCCACAAAACCAAATACACTGAACAGTAAGCCTGAATTAAGAACAAGGTCATTTTAAGAATGAATGAACGGATAAGACCATCCAAGACATGACATATTACTCAGCAGAGTAGAGAAAGCATGGACACCTTAGAAGTTTCCAGCAGAAAAAATAGGAGTCACACTTATCTGATAGATCTGACAGTTTGTGTTTGCAAACAAAGAGTTAGGAATTTTATGATACTCAGTTATGACTGTCTCCAGTGAAAACTGTCTGGTGAAAACCAGGTGAAACCGTTGAACTTCAGCTGTGTCTTAATCTGAATTTCCTGCTTCTACATTCAGTCAAACTGTGGTTTGTCTGTTGTTTCTTCAGACTTGAGCAGCTCAGGGGGAGGCTGTCTGATTGTATAATACTCTAGATGGCGTTTCTTTAGTTTTCTTTGCCATTTGACTCACATATAAAACATTTTTTTAGGACTGTCTTCCTTTACCTTCAAAAACAAAAGGAGAAATGACTGAGTATCACCTGGAGTTTGACGGGCTCTGGTAGCTTCATCTGTAACAGTCCCTCCTTTGGCATCATCTTCCCTCCATCCTGTCCTCCTCCAAGCGTCTCCACTCTCTTCCCCACCTCAGGGTCCGTGTGAATCTCCTCTTTTCCTTCTCTTGGTTCAGAGAACACATGGGGCTCGATCAGTCGAAGGATGTTTTTCAGATCTCCGTTTTGGAAAACTCCCATGATAAGCATGGTGTAGAAGAGCTTGATGAGAGGAACAAAGAGGAACTCCGTGCTGCCTCCCACGGGGTCCCGGACGTGCATGCTCCCCTCCTGCACCGCTTCCGTCAGCATCTCAATGGTTTTGACTTTTAGTATGTCTAAGGGGAATTCAGGGCTGTACTGGAAACAGTTCTCTGAGTCACTGCTGTCATTATTCTGACACAACGAGCCCGGCAGCCTCACAAAGCTCGGAGATGAGAAATGCATTCTGGGTCTCAGGGAAGTGCTGAGTCCAATCCCGGGCAAACCGTGTTTCTTCTCGTCGTCTGGAAACAGGGTGATGCTTTTGGTTTCGTCGGTCATGGGAACAATGTATTCGTTGTTCATCATCAGCCGAGCGGTGGCGTAGCTGTTCAGGTGGATGTCCACCAGGATGTCGTAGTAGCCTGCACGGAGCAGACCTGCACAGTCCAGACAGAGAGCCAGCTCATTTAAAAAGACATGCACCCTCAAGTACCAAGTTAGCATTTCAACAGTAAACGGACTAAAATCCACAGCAGCCAACATGCTGACACACAATATATCATACACAATACCAATCACATTATTTACGTTTTTATTCAAGCTCTCCAAAATGTTTTGAAAAGCGGGGTTACTTGAAAAAAATAGGAATCATGGCAAAGAGCTGTAGGGATTTTAAAAAGTAATCCTTTACCATAGAACATGTTGAATTCAGGTTCAGTTTGGACATTTCTTTATTCTTCTAATGGACACTGATTTGTCTTAAGTTTGAATGAAAAGCAACAGTTCAAAGTAAACAGTGGGCTGAGACACAGAGGGGTGATGAATACAATATGCTACCATCATCAGAAATAGTTCATTAGCCAATGAACCTTTCAGACAATTCTACTTCAAATGTGACAAGATATTGTCTGAGATGAGGCTTCAAGATATTTAAGCCTCAACTCCAAAAAAGGTTTTCATAGAGCATTATATGTGTTATGTCAGGCTTTTTTACACCGTGGATTCGTCATCGTAACGCACCATAACCAGAAAAGAGTGTCATATAACAGTAATATGTTATAGGTGAACTATCAGTTTTACAGGGACTTATCACTGCTGTGCTGTTCAGCCTGCTATGGACAGGAATTCCTCTATTTAATCTGATTTTCATGACAATTACACAGTTCATATGTCAGAAATGTGGATGACTTTGTTAGTTAACTTAATTTCTATTTCCCACCATACAAATCCATGGCAAATGGGGACGTTTTACCATTTAATTAGAAGTTAGAACAACAGGCACAAAAACCATCTGGTCTTCACAAAAAGTCCCCATCAGTCCAACCACCCGTACTAAACATTTGCAATGGCACAAAACGGTACTGATGAAAATTCAGAGGAAACCATTGATGCTGGCGTGGTGTGAAGGATGAGCTGTGTGTGTCACGGCCCACCATCACAACTCAGGCCAGAGCTGGCCAAGGTGCAACGACAGGCTATCGATGCTCACAGATTTATTTCTTCTTCACATAATTAGCATTATGCCAAACGATGTTTTCAGTTGGCAGTTACAAAGATATAGAGTCTAACCCCAGAATAGGGTTTGTGTTGGTTGTGTGCATACTGCGTGTTTTACCTGGCATATACTTATTCTCTATGGCCTCCAGGAGCTGGGCCTCATCAACGTGGGAGCACAGAGCATGAGCCACTCGGTTGTTTCCCAGGGCACAGATTGCAGAGTACAATCTAAGAGTATGGTAGTGAAACTTTAATAGGTCCTTCTGCTCTGATAGCTCCAGGATATCAATTGCCCTGAAAACCACACAATCAGACACTGAATGAGCAATGACAGTGCAGGAGGATGAAATAAGAGGTGGGCGTGCCTGTGTTGTGGCTTTGGAATAGCACACCTGTTTTCTTCAGGAATGTGCAGCGACATGAACTGACGAGCTTCGTTACACTGAACCAGCCAGCCATGTCTGTCGTTCACTCTGGATGCTGTAACCTTGGCAACGTAGAAAAGGAGAAGGCAAATGTCATTTTTATTCAAGTTACTACTAGTATACTGTTCTGCAGAACCTTCATTAATACATATATCCTTGTTTTTGATAAACACATATGGCACTTACAGTTACAAATACATGAGTACTGAGCAACATTACTTCCTGTTTTTTTAGGCTTTTTCCTAAAGTCTTTTATTTTGGTTTAGAAGTGGCATATCATCGTCTCTTCCTGGAAATATTAAGGCATTCCAAAGCCAGATACGTGTTCTCCAGCCTGTCCGGTTCTACCCTAATGGATCCGTGTAGTGTGTCTGACACACCGCTCAACAGTCCAGAGAGGAGGGGAACATGCTCTAACCACAGCAACTCTTTTCTTTTGATTCAGCTGAGTCAGCAGCGGTCAGCACCAACTCAACTCACTGGACACCCCGGCCAACTAGAAGCTAGAACGTCCTGCTGCTAGCTGGTGGAGAGCCAATAATATGAGCTGAGTCAAGTCACGCTAAGCAGGTATGAGTGGAATGGGGCTACAAGAAAATGGTTACAAGCCAAACCTTAATTTCTAATTCAGGTTTCTCCAACTGTGTTTAGTTGTCAGTGAGCCTACAGATATCAACCCAATATCTCACAGTTTTCAACCTTAAAAAGATACTTCAGACAAGTTGGTCTGTCGGTTTCAACACACAGAACACAGTTTCAATCCTCTATGCAGAAGTTTACATTTCATAATCTTTTCCACTCTGCATACTGTGTGAATATATAATAAAATCAAAATCCAAAAATTCAGAAAATGACTACCGGTAATAGGAATTAGTACCTTGAGGAAATCATTGGGAACACGACTCCACAGCACAGGGGTCAGAAACTGGACATGAAGGCGGGGAGGACACTGTGGCTGTAGGTTCTTTCTCTCACTCTTGAACAGACCAGCTGACAGAGGCATTGCATTCTACAAAAACACAACATTTGACATGAGTGGAAATAAGAACGTAACATTGGGTTCAATATTTTTCCTTGTTCAAGGCATGGGTGTAATATGTACATTCTATTCTACAGTACATAAAGTATGGCATCTAAAGAGTTTTGCTTCTCTACAAAATATGTCAACCTATTTGCAATACCGTATTTGGAAACTGCAGCTTAACATTAACAACATTATTCTATTATTTCCTATTTTATTCTACATTTTGATGAAGTAAGAGTGTGTGTGCGTTTTACACCTTTATCCGTCCAAGTTCGAACTGGAAGACATTTGGACTGGTGGCCTTGGCAAACACAGCAGGGAAGAGCTTCGTGCTGGGCTCCACCTGAGGACAGAGAGTTGATAAGCTATTCAATTCCAAAAGAAAAGGGTAAGCTGGTTCTTTTTGTTTTGCTTATTTTGTGTCAACAGTTGCAAATCAAATACACACACACATACAACAATGTAGTAAAGATAATTGATATTTAAAAAAGTAAAGGGAAATCAAAACAAAAACTATAACAATGACATACATGACTCCTGACACACATTGACTGAACACTGTGGCTTCCACAAGTTAAAAAAATTAACTCTGAAATTAGGCCTTTTATCAAATCTGTTTAAGGATGTTGGGGTGCTGTCAACACACGAAGCTGTCTTCTATTTCTTAAATATAAAAAAATATAAATATTTTTAAAAAATCAAAAATCAAATTGTCTACGGATACAACCTTACAACCTTATTCATTTATTTCATTTTATTACTTTTAAAAGTTATTTCTTTTTTCATTCTATTATTTTCTATTATTTTATTCTAATTCTTTATTTTCTTTCCTTGCAATGGAATTGTCAAGAAGTATGCAAGAAAGTTGTTTTCATTTAGAAGGCTAATCTAAAAGCCATATTGATTGTATGAAAAACAAATATGGAAAGCAAAAGAAGAAAAGTACTGGAGGTGTACCTGATAGTAAGTGCTGAGTTCTTTGCCATTGGCCGTGAAGGTCAGTAGACCATTGGCTGTGTCAAACAAACAACCGATCTCTAAGCCGTTGTTGTTCCTCCTCTGACCAGGGCTGCTGCTCTCCCCAGCCCACACCATGTAACAGTTACTGCGCTTTATACTGCAAAAAAAAATAAACCAACCATTTCACACCACTTCACTGAAGAACACAAACACAACGCACATCTAGCATCAGTATTTTAGACTTCATGAGGCAAAACATAAAGAAAATCTGTACATCTGTTTAAATATGAATCCAATTTCAAAGATACAGTTTAGGTCCTTCAAAGAAAGTCAGTACCTTTTTTGCACAGTCGTAATGTAATGGAGAAATTCGAATTAGTACAAGAATTAGGCGTCCAAATGAGTGTGGGGGCTGGGAGAATGATGGAAGACTATTGCATGCAACATTTTGGAAGAAACTGAGCTCAGAGGTCTGTTAAAGATCTGGTGAAACGGATCCAGATGCATGTGAGGAAGCATGTCAGTGCATTAATACAAATTCAGCAGTAGTGGGACATCTCCCAATCTAGCCAGGATTAACCATGAAAGAAAATCTGCGACGGGTGATGTTTCTCTGTACTTTACTTACCTCTCATGAACTTTTCCTTTTTCATCTCCCAGTGTGACAGTCACCGTTCTGACTTTGTGGAGCTCAAAGCCGGGGTCAAACTGATGGAAGTCCGAGGTCACCCAGCCAACCCAAACACTGCTGGGCTCCTGACCGGGGAAAATCCGGGCGGAATAATAGTACTGCACAGAGACAAGGAAAAAGTCCATTGTGTAATCACTTAATCATCAGAGTGTTACCAGGGTTACACAGTCCCCAATTAAATAGGGATTCTATATCCAGGATCAGTGTATAGATCAATGTTTTGCTTAAAGAAAAAAATGATTTCTATCTATCTATCTATCTATCTATCTATCTATCTATCTATCTATCTATCTATCTATCTA